AGCTTTTCCTTCTTTGTGAAGCTCCTCTTATTGCTAGGCTCCTGCTCAGTTCTTTTCCATCTACAGTTTGAACTTTCTTTGGTTTAATGCACAAGCTCTAATAAAGCTTTATTTTCCTCCACTTCATTTAAAGAAAATGACATCTATTTAACAAATTCCTTGAGTTTTTAAAGATCATCTTCTTGCTAAGGCAGCTGACAGAGTAAAGTACTAAAACAGAATTTCTTAAAATGGGGGAAAGTTTATAGGGAACTGTTGTCTCTCTTGTATCATCTTCAGCCTTTTGAAACCAAGAGGAACAAGGAGTCATGTGTATTTATAGCATCTATAGCTGCTTCTATCTTCTATTATCTTTCAGTAATTAAGTTTGATTCATTGAGTTCCATATCATGACACTGACTTATAAAGTTCTTGATGACTGGGTTGGATAACCAGCAAGGAAATATTTATGAATGTGAGAGGATGAAACAGAAAGAAATAGACTAACTATATGTTCTTAATTACAGCAACATACCAGAATCATAATATTAATCATAATTTTTTTTTTTTTTGCCTAAAATGCCCCAGTTAAAACCACTCTCTTCCAATTCATCAATTTAAAGTTTTAGTTCAACCTCTCCCAACCTGCTCCCAACCCGCTGCCCTCCAGATCTCCTGGACTATCTATCCCATAAGTGCTGGGAATTGTGAGAGTTGTAGGCCCATGCATATGAAAGGACACCAGCTTGGGAAGGACTGCTTTAGCCAGCATAATCTTCCAATTAACACTCAGCTTGCAAACTGAACAGCTACAGTACCAGTCTTGAGTAAGTCCCAAAGACTTTGTGCAATGGCAGAAACTTGTTTAGTTTATTATGGGCTTAGACCAGAGCAACTTAAAAATAACATAAAAATAATAAAAAGATACATCTAAATTGAAACATAATATTACTAAAATAATATACCACTTACCCAGCTTGAAGCAATCATGTACATTCCACCATACACATTCTGGCTACGCAATCTGAGTTGGCTTAATACTGAGGCCAGCTCTGCCCTGGTGGTAGTGAACTCCCAGAGAGTCACCATTCATCATAACAGACATTTCTGGCCTTAGCATCCCCACAAAGGGAGAGAAAGCTCAGACAGGGGCCTAATTTAGGTGATGATAGTTTCCAGATTCCAGCTCTTAAGGTAGGAATTATAGGCCTTGCCCTAGAAAACTGAACAGGCACCAAAGACCACCGAGCTGGCTGTTTAGTTTACTAATATCAATATACAGTATAATATCAAATAATGATGAATTGATGCATACAAGCAGTGGCAAGGCTAATACATTCTAAGATATCATGTGTAGATTGAAGAGATTTTATTTGGATTTTTTGAAGGAAACTGCTTGTCAGCACATCAGTGCAGTTCTTTTTTAATGTGCCTAGGAAGCAAAGTAGAAAGAGAGTGGATCTTTGCTATGGTCCAAAATAATTTGCACTTTGCACTTTGGTTGAAATATACATCATATGGTATTTATTGGCTAGGATTCAAGATAAATAGAGATGGGTTTCAGTGGCCTTTGAAAAATTTCAGCAACCTTGTGGGTGGAGATATTGGCTAAGACCATTTGTGATCAACATTTCTACAGGAGAAGGAGAGCTTCTCCATCAGTTTCTCCCCCTAATATCAGTGACAGTAATATTGCTACTAAAAACACTCAATGAGAGTTGCTGTTTCAAGATATGTTTGCTTGGGATCTAACTGAAATGTACAAAGACTTCAGACTGCTGAAGAGGTGAGGGTACCTTAAAGGACACACCCTGGACCAACTCATCACCAAATAAGGGCAAAACTACCAAATCCACTTGCAAATTTCACAGGAATTTTCTTCTCCCTTGAAAAATTCTCCAATTCCAAAAGCAAATTCTCTTTCCTCACATGGAATTACTCTGGAGGAAGAAATGGCAGACTGAAGACAGCTCCACAAAAAGTGAAGCGGATGACTGCAACAAAGAATGAAGAGCCAGTGAGTAGATTGGCTCTTAGGAATCTCTCTAGACAAAGAGAGGATGGGAGATCACTCACTTGCACTTCAAACAGTTGCTCTTTGTGAGAAGACTGCAAGACAGCAGTTCCTGGTGGGTTTTGAGCATTGGGAGATGACAGGAATAACCATCTAGCTCACAGCTGCAGTTGGTGGAGGTTGTCTTTTCCTTAATTTCTCTCCTTCAGCAGGTAAAACAATAGCCAAACATTCTGGTTTGTTCCTCTAAACAGTGTTTCTCAAACTTGACAACTTCCCAACTCCCAGAATTCCCCAGCCAGCCTGGCTAGGGAATTCTGGGAGTTGAAATCCACACATTTTAGTTGCCAAGTTTGAGAAACACTGCTCTAGAACATCATTCCTCAGGCTGGTATCCTCCAGCCAAACTGAGATTGTGACTCCCAGAATTCCAAGCCTACTGGGGCTTTTCTGGAGGAAAGGGCCAAGACTGACCTATTTGTAAATGGTGCAAAGGGAAAAGTTTCCACAGCAGCCATCATAGCCCTGTGTTGCTCTGCCAATCTTTTTTCCTGTCCATGAGTGGCTTTGCTCCCCAATGATTCCAGGAAGTCTTAGGTGGATGGTTATAGAAGGACCAGGGTAACAATTATATCACTCTACAAAGCTACTTTTGACTCTTTTAACAGGAAGTTAGCACCTGGAGCATTTTTTTAAAGTATGGTTCTCTGCAACTACTATTTCATGGAAATAAAGCCATCCTACTGGATAGGATTGTTAATATGAATAGTGTGATTCTTACAGTCAGCCCTTCAAGGAAGGCAAGCTCAGGAAACAGGGTCATTAAGAGTCTTGGAATGTACTCTAATGCAATTAGGGTATTGTTACAACACTGTTGACAGCTGTCAAAACACGTCTCTACTTTGATTTATACCTAACACAATATAGGTGGATGTTTGAGTTTCTTTCTAATGCTTTCTATTTTCTCAGAACTCAAATATCTTTTCTGTAACAGGTTGGCATTCTCCACATTCCTTCACATCCAAGGAAGTTCTAAGGCTGCAGACTTATAGACATTTATCAGTAAGTTACTTGAACACAGTGAGGCTTAGTTCTGTAATGATTGAAATTCCAGTGTAATTACAAGTTAGTAAAAGCAGCTTACAGATGATTTCAGATTGTCTCTCATCCAAAATGCTTTCATGACCAAGCTGCTGAGATTCATCTGTAGAATTGCACAACTTAATTGTTTTACTCTAATTGCTTTATAGGAGTGGCAGGAAACTTCATGGTCAGGGGCTATACTTTCAAAATATTCTCTCTCTCCCTCTCTTTTTTTAGCTCTTAGGAGCATAGACAGCAGGTCCATCTTGGGCAGGGTGGTGAGGCCGCACTGCTCAAGTGGCTAAAGTCACAATTTTCTGTGCTGTTCATGTTTTCTTGGGAATGTTTTCTTTTTTTAAATTAAAGTTTTTGTAAGGTGCAAAATCTTTAAATAATCATTAGAATCATGAGAAATCTTACCATCAATTGTTGGGGATTTGTCAGATTTCACTGGTGTTATTAGAAGGTGTTTAAAATGCAAAAAATTGGGCTTGGGAGCCCCATGCTGCCATCTCTTCTTACAACAACAGCTGTCAAGGTGATGTTGGATAAACATACAAGCGAATCAATAAAAAAGCATCATAACACAGTTTAAAACAGTTACTCAAAGAATCACAGACTAAAGATAACTGATAAAATGAATGAACTGGAACCATGTAAATTTAGAGATCATTCCAAATTGGGGTCTCTTTCATTTTCTGTTTGATGTTTCCAAGATGCCACATAGCGATCCTTCTCTATTTTCTCCCAAAGCCGATTGGCGATTATAGATTTGTAACTATGCGTCAAAAGCTATTTGAGACTTTCAAGCTGAAGTACCAATCCAGTGAAAAGAAATGCTGGATATGAACATGATTTATGGTTAGAACATGCCCTAACTACTCTTAAAAGGACAGCAATTAATAGTTCAGAAGTGAGCTGGCAATTCTAATTGAAAAAAGAATCTGTTTAGGCTTAATTATAATTTAGTACATGCTGTTTTCACATGTATTGGCTTTAAAGGAGCCAACAAGATTGTAAAGACTTGTTTCAGTCCATTTCTCTTGCTGTGTCATTTTAAAGGAAGGCTCTCACCTCCCTGGTCTCTTCGCTTCGCTATTATGGTGTCTTTTCAAGTTACAGCTTTTCTCTTGCTTGGAGCTATCCTGCCTTTTGAAGTAGCCAGCTTATAAAAAACATATTATTTGCAGTTGCTGGGTAGAATTGTTAGGATCTGCTTTTGAAGACAGGAAAACCATTGGCAGGACATTCAGAGTATTTTGACACATGTTGGCCTGGCCTTGCACGTGTGCATGGTTAATGATGTGGAGAATGGAATCAGGAGCCCTGTAAAGAAAAACCTGAGAGATGCCATGGAATATTAGACTTTATACATTTATTTTACATGTGAATAAGACGGTCTATATATTGACTATTTATAGTCAGTGGTCCCCACATTTCTGTGCATTACATGTGATATTATTGTTTTCAAACATCAGCTACCAAAACAAACTGGGAAAAAAGGCTTTCTTTTTAAAAATCAAAGCACATTTCTAGTTATAATGGATGCAGGAAAAAAAAGAAAAAAGAAAAAAAAAGTAGAGCTTCCTGCTTATTTTGCCTATAGTTTTTAATCATAGGAATTTCCCCAAATCCTACTCCCTTCCATGAAAATGTCAGTAATATATCTGCCTTACTAGAGGTTCTAGTTCTTCTGGCTTCCCTCCATAGAATGGCCTTCTCAGGGATGTTATAGGTAGCAAACAAGGATTGGGACACAGCTGATTTATACTCATGCTTGAACTGTGGTGACAACTGTGGGTGACCATCGTTTCCTTGGAACTATCTAGATATTTAGTGCAGAATGTGAGGATCCTGGCTGTTGTGTCTCCACTGCAAAGTGGCATGGAAGGATAACATTTGGCAGGAGAAATAAGAGGTGGGAGGATGCTTAAACTTTAACCAGGCTGGCTACCTGTCAGCCTTGCGAGGTAGTTCAGACAGGAAGCACACCCAGATGAACTAATCCTATGTTATTGCTCTTTTTATATATAATGTTATTAAAAGTTTTAAAAAGGAAGATAAAAGCTAGTGCAAACTAACATGAAGTAAGGAAGAAAAAAGAAAAAGAAACCAAAAAGAAGGCTAAAAGTGCAAGAAAGGTGACAAAAAGTAAAAGAAATAGAAAAGAAAGAAAAAAGCTACAAAGAAGTGGCTTCCAATCTTCTTTATGGCAGGTATAAGTACAATTATAAATTTACCTCTTTCTCTAAAGTTACATTACTCTCTTCTTTCTATAATCTATCCTGTCTAATCATCAAAACCATAAATCATAAGTTCATTTTTTTTCTGTTTTCCACAAAAAGTCCATAAGGGGTTTCCAGTCAGCAATAAGCATAGATATTATCTTTTCTCTAAACGGAGAAGTCAGTTTGGCCATCATCCTTCTTTATTGTAAGGTTACATTAACAGAATCTTGTAACACTGAAAGTATTTCTTCCCTCCTCTCTTTTTAGCCTCTGGAAAACCAGCAAGGGTCCCTTCTGAAATGCTTCGCATGATTTCCCCCCACCTGCAGACTGAGCTGCCTCTTATCAGATCATTGCCTAGGTTGTGGGTCTGTCCTGTCTCCCAAGGTCATTCCCACATACCATTATGCTACCTGTTCGAGATGGCAAATAGACATATTGGAATGCTGACCCAGGAGGGAAAAATGCACAAATAGTGGTGAAGATGGCTTATTTTAGGAACAGAAAAACCTGCCATATATCAAATAATCTCATTGGTCTATCTGGGCCTTGGTAGCATTCTTGAAGAGTTTTTTTAGAGGGTTTTTCCCTCAACCCTATTAGCAGGTAGTATCTGGAACTGGGATTGTGACGTATGGATATTCTGCTTGTAAGATTCCTGAGTGGTGGCTAGTTTTGGAAAATGATACAGGACTAGCTGGACCTTTGGACTTACCTAATAAGCTCTTATGATTGTAGAGGAAAAGTAGTAGGAAAAGGAAGGATTAAGTACCCCCAGCCTGCTGCATATTTCCTGCAAACTATACCTATTTTCCAACAATTTCAAATGGAGCTATGGTAAGTGGTGTTTCTAACCCTGTGCTGCTTATCAAATGTATTGATGTTATATGTTTTGAACTCAAACATTGACTGACAGACATGAAAAACAGCACACCTTGATTAGAAATTAACAGGGATTTGCTTTCTGATAATATTTCAATGTTTTACACATTTCTTCATAAAGAGGGTACAAGTGGGTTGAGATGGATAGGATTTGGATTACTCAAGTCTTAAAAATGTGACTTTGAAGCCCTGTGTATTCAGCCAAATTCATGATGTGGAACAAAGGTTGATATATCTTCTTTCTGGCTTCTGCACTTTGTTCTCTTTCTTCTAGAAATAGCTTTACCTGCTGGATTTGGGATTGGTGAAGATGGCTGAGAATTTTATTTGGATTTTTTAAAAATAAGAGCTTACCAGAATTTGCATGAGCAGGAGATGAGGAATTTAAGAGTGGAAACATTGGTATATGGGAAAAAGCAAAAGGGATAAGATTCATTCATCCCTATGAACGAACCATCTTGATCACCTCATAAAGCCTCATTCTCTGTCACTTTAATTTGGGCTGAAAACTAGTCACTCATAATTTTTGAGTTTGATAGTCATGTGCTCTCAAAAGTATTGTCTGGAAGCTGAAATTCTTGAGCAGGAAAATCCAGTTTTCCTATTACCCCACATTTTCGTTCATGGGGTGAGGCTATCCAGGGTTGAGGCAAAAACTCAGCCATCTTCAGCCTTCTTTATCACTAATAAGATGAACAGATCCTTGACAGTTAAGAACGGGGAGCTTCGTGATAGGAGGACCCTCATCAGTGCCTCGTTCTAATCAAGTTCTGCAAAAAGGAGTTGTGCTAAAAACAGTTTTGGTCTTGCACCTGCAATTGAAGGTTTGTCAGAGCTATTGGGGAAGCAAACTCTATCAAGGCATATTTATTTAGAACTACTACATTCTTCAGGGTCAAGAAGCATTTGGCTCAGTAGTGTTTTATTGGCAGAGTCTACATTTTACATTCCAAAGAAACTTGAAGAAGGCAAGAGGTCCCAGAAGGAAGCCAAACTGTTACAGAGACAGAGAGATCTGACTTTTCAGACCAGCATCAGGGTGGAGCAGTCAAGAATCCTTCTTACATCCTTCATACCTTTTTTTTAAAGTCCTGGGTGAAGAACTTCTTTCCCTGAATAATAGACGATGATGCACTGAGGAGGAAAAACGGAGCAGTAAAATCAAAAGAAAGCCCCACCCTTTCCCAAGGCAAAATCTTTATGCCAGAACATGACATCAGCATGAATAAATGTGTAGAGGGAAAAGGATGGTCTTGGAAACTGATTTAGATGCCGGGGGGTGATGAAATCTTGAGAGAATGCCAAAAATTTGTGTGTTTGGCAACGCCTCCATCCCAGATATAAGACAGGAGTTCAGAGAAAGAGTCACTACCCCTCTTGAACCTTTTAGGATTTAGCAGGGAAGTCTCTCTGTGGCTCCATTTTTTGGCAAAATGTCCACTATTACCAGGCAATACACTTCCTCCTCTTCCTGTATGAAGGGGCCTTCATGCAGTTTTGGTGGGGGCTCTTCCCAGCTCTCCTCTGTCCCTCTGGGTGGGGGATACAGAACCTCAAGCATCCATGGAGGAGCTGGTGGCATCTCTGTCTCTTCCTCTCGCTATGTCTCTGGTGTTGGCAGTGCCCTTGGTGGTGGCTATGGGGGCAGCAACTATTGTAGGAGCTACGGTGGTGGCTTTGGCAGTGGCTTTAGTGGGAGCCTTGGTGGAGGCTTTTCTGGAGGCTCTGTGGTCAGTGGTGATGTCCTTCTGGCTGGAGGTGAGAAGCAAACCATGCAGAACCTTAATGACCGCTTGGCGATCTACCTGGACAAGGTGCGGGCATTAGAGGAAGCCAATACCGATCTGGAAATTAAGATCAAGGAATGGTACCAGAAGCAAGCACCTGGTCCAGACCGTGACTACAGCGCCTATTTCAGAATGATCGAGGACCTGAGGAACAAGGTATGACTTGATGCCTATTAGAGGGAACATTTTCCCGGTCTGAGTGTAGGAATGCATTCTTAAGGTCAGGAAAAAGAATTTGGGATTCAAAGAATACTGGTTTATAAATCTAGAAAAAATATAGTATTCAGAGCCTTTGCTATCTTAATTCTCTGTCATTGCAATACTACATGTAATGGCTTATGCTATTATTGTGTACTTGTTGCATAAGTCACACCTATGTGACTTTGTCACATTGTCCCCCTGCTAGCTGCAATCCCTGTAGAAATCTAAAATTGCCAGTATGTCTTTATACTCCACAGAGAGCTGAAGTCAGTTCTTGCATTATTATGGTGTTAATGTGTGCTCAAAACAATAACGACCAAAAACTTAGGTACACAAGCCTCTAATTGATATTTGTCCTTGTCCTTTTTACACGATGATGATACTTTGTCAGATATATTTTGGCCAGGGTAATCCATATTCTGTATCCAATGAGGATAAACTCTGTAGTCCTATGCATTAGCTAAGTTGTTGTAAGTTTTATTTCCATTTTTTTTACTGCTTTGCAAAATTAATTTCAGTTCTGCTTATCATGGGATAAGGGATGGAGTGATTAGGCCTACTCCTGCAAGGCAGAATTCAGGACTGTCCATCTGATTTCTGGTACACTGAACAGAAGTTAGTAAAGTGAAATGTTCCTAGGACTGACAATGGGATAATTGGATCCATCTGAATTAAATTTTGGTAGAAAATGTTATATATCCTTCAACAATATGAGAGGTTTCTATGCTGCATTTTGGACACTTGCATATCATCACATAAAAAGGACAAGGGAAGACTAATAGGTGTAAAATATGCATGTACTGCTTTTCTACGTTCACAAAATGTAGTTACGGACATAGAAATATGATCCTTCTTGCCATAGTGGGCAACGGTATGAGCAAGTGACCTGTGTGCCTACAGGATTGCTTGTCCAGGTGGTCTCTACTGATGGGCAATTTCAAGACCATTCTTCTTCCTTTAAACTGGCCAACTTCTAAATCAGGTGGATCTCAGAAAGGAAGGGTGTACTTTGCCATCAATCAAGGAGAGAACGATCATCCACAAAAGTAGAAGATATGGATAAATGGCTGCCTTTGAAAATCCAGGTCTTTCATGACATTAAGAATGAAAGGTGATTGATAAGGGAGAAGAAGTGGATTCATTTCATAATTAGGCCATTCCTAAGAGGATGGCAATTGGAGATTCAAGAAAACAGCATTGGGAAGCAGATTGCTCTAGGATAGGAATTATTTAATTCCAGTTGTCTACTGATGGAAGCCTCCAGAAATCGTTAAAAAGATACCAGTGACATCTGTGCCATCCTGAATATGGGCCTGCTGATGCATATCAGATGTTACTCACATTCCAAGCTTGCATTCCTGAGAGCTCTTTGGGGTGGGGCAGGGCTGTGATTCAGCTCTCTTGTGTAGCCTTGCCTGATGGATTCAGACTCAAGTACTGAGTAATAATAACAATGATTTTGTAGTAGACTCAAGTGAGGGATTAGCAGAGCTCTTTGAACACTTCATTCACTAAATAAATAAAGATCAGTATGACAAATCTATTAAATCTGTCAAGGTGGATAGATACTTATCCTGATAAATAAAATGATCCAAGCACCTTTTCTTAGTGCTGTTAACTGCTCTTATTTCATCATAGCTTTTGTCCTATATACAGTTAGGGTGGTGTCATAAATAGTTACAGCAGTGATGGGGAATCCGTAGTCTTCCATATGTTGTTGAACTACAACTCCCAAGGTATAGCCATGGTAGTTATAGTTGCTGGGAGCTGTAAATCAACAACTCAAGGTCCACAGCTTCTCTATCCCTGGATTGGTGAATTGGATTGTGATAGGGAAAACCTCTTTAAGATTGCTTCTTAGTTTACCTGTTGTTGCTTTTTCTAGATTTTAGCAGCTACCATTGACAATGCTAGTGGTATGCTTCAGATTGACAATGCTCGCCTGGCTGCTGATGACTTCAGAACCAAGTAAGATTTTGTTTTTTAAATTCATGGACAAATGGAAAACAATAGCAGGGTCTTTTATATGGCTTACTGAACTGATGGAATTATTTTGCACGCACTAAGGAACTGGAATATGACTTTCAGATTTAAGAGATAAAAGGTAGATTAAAGAATGAGAATAGGAGCCAAAGCAGGTAGTGATGTCTGAAGATTTTGTTTGGTCTCCATTTAGAAGTAAGCAGAAATGATCTTTTCTTAATTCAAGGTCAGCAACATAGTTCCCAGGTCAAGTCAAAAACTCTGGATGGTCCAGGAATCTCCCAAATTAATTTTTTTTTTAATGTAAAATAAAAAAATGGCTGCAGTCCTGGGGACATTTTCTCCAGTGTCCCCAGATGAATTTAATTTAATTTAATTTAATTTAATTTA